TAATTAATCAATTGACAATTGAAATTTATTATTCATTTACTTGACAATTGGATTGATTATTTGTTTATTACTAAAATAGGGTATACCGCAACAAAACCAGACAAAGTGAACATTTGCACTACCAAGGATTTCAAGGATCAAAAAAGCTTTTGTTTGTCCAAAGTCTTCTGGCATTATATATAGAATCGCCCCTATTACTATTACTATATATTAATATAATAATAATAATAATTATTATTTTTATTTTAAAATAACTGTATCACAAATTCAAATTAACCATATTCAAATACAATCACTAGTTTTTTAAAATAAGGGTTTAAGAAAATATTTATATTTAGATTACACTAAAAAAATATTTCTGCATTATTAAAAGAAATCCTATACCATATTGAATTTTTTTTTTAATAAAAGTATTGGAATAATTGTTTCTTATGTGAACTTTTTTTATGAATATTTCAGATAATTATATATATTCAAAACATCATAAACATTCCTGCTTATAATTCAAAGATGTGATTATAACAGAATTATTTCCTATTTAATTCATTAAATCTGGATGACACGAAATTAACTATCTGGTTCGCTTTCAGTGCAAATTGAATTGATGCCAGCTCGATGAATATCTTTACATGGAGTAACTGTCCTTGGAAGTCCTCTGTAAAGAGGTGAATTTTCTTCAAAAATATTGTAATTGTGTTCCTCATGTAATTCTAATATTGATTTTGTTGTTTCTAAAATTTTTGTCTATGCAAAAAACAAGACCATATCAATTTTTGAATATAATTGAATCTAATTGAAGCAAATAAAAATAGCAAGATACCCTTAGATTCCACAGTAAGACAATGAAGTCAAAAAAATATTCCCGATGATTGTTCCAATTAATGGGAACTTGAGCTTTGTATGTGCGCTCAAATAAAAGAACCCCATGTGCAGGATTAAATAATTGCCATATTTCTATATGATTTTCTACAGAATGCAAAGATGATCAGAGCATTAAAAGAATAATTAGATCACTATAAAGCTTTCTATAAAGGTTATTTACCAAAAACATGCACAAAGTGTGTTTGAACTTTAGAAAATGTAGATCTATTTCCTTTTTTATATTGTTGAGATAATTCTGTAAGCATATATGCAGCACCAACAGCCCCTTTAACATGGTCCCATGTTGACCTAGGTGGCTCTCGATGACCATACCCACCACTTATCTCAAGATGGCCAACTTCTAACAAACAGTTATTTAAACACATTAAAAATACACCATCAGCCTTTTGCTCATAATGATTAGTTGCTTTCCTTCGTCTTCATGACATTTCAACAGATGATAGAATCGCTTCACCTCTTTAACCAGAAGAATTTCAACATTATCAAGTATATAATGTGTAACAAAACAACACATTTTACTGTTTAAAAGTTACAAAAAATACTCACAGCTAGGGATGGGAAATTGCATGAAAATTTCAAACTTCATGCACATGATGCGCATCATGCGCACTGCATCTGCTGATCTTTTTTATTTTTTAAAAAAAAATTTATTATTATTATTAAAAAAAAAAAAACCAGATTTAATTACTAATATTAGTCACTGATTCATTTTCACTTCACTAACATCATCTTCCTGTTCCTCATTATCATTACCAGTATCATAGTGTTTCCATTGACATTAT